TCAATAAAAGCTATAATGTCTAAACACTATTGAGCTCAAGATACAATGTTGTAAGCTGTTGTTGAGTCCTCTTTAAACAGTATTCGGATCCTTTTAGTCCTTTGTATTATTCTTCTACTTGATAACCAGCATGGATAATGATCTTCTCCTAGAGGGATGTGATTTAGTCCAGTTTTCTCTCTTATTAAGCAACCATGTCTTCCTAGCTACTTTGAAAAGAGGGCTTTAGACGTCCAGAGGAGTTTGAAGAGTTATGGACTACTGCTTTTGTGTAGGAGGGTACTTGGGAACAACCAAAATTATCTGAAATATTTCTTTGTGGCCGGAAAGGATAATTCTTTGGTCATGGGCCAGTTGCATCGTAACAGTAATACAACTGTAAAGGAAAACAGTAATACAATTGTGGGTTGCCTCTCTTCTGCAGCTGTGGAGGTGTGACCTTTTCATTTTTTCCCCATACTGCCACTACTTGTTAGGGTTTTCCTTAGCAAATGAGCCTTTGATAGTCAATAAAGTGTCTGTGTTCATAATTTTTAGGATTTTTTATGTACTTGTAAAAATGAAGCAGGTGGAGAAATATCCATTCAGTAACTTCAATGCTAAAATTAGACACAAAGATTCATGATATCAATTAATTACCAGCCTTTTTTTTAAGTTATGTTAGAATTTAAAAGAAACTTATCTGGTGACCTGTATTTCAGATTAGAAAAGGGCAAATTTTGATTGTAAGAGGTGGAGAGGTATTAAAGTTGAGGAGGAAAAAATAAAGGAGGTATAAACTTCCAAATGAAAAATACTGGAATTTGCCAGTAACTAATTTCACTTCTGACAGGTGCATTTTATTTTTTTTTTCCCCCTGGATGAAGGCATGTTTATTTGGCAAGTGCATGTATGTTTGCTGTGTATTAGGAGAAAGATGCAGAAAGAGATGTGAGTGCGAGAACATGCAGGAGTGTAATCAAGAGACTGGAAAGAACTCAAGATTTTAAATATTTTTTTAATTAATAAATGACTAAAAGACAAGGACCAGAAATACAAGATTTTACAGTACTTGTCAAACCTCTCCCCCTCTGTGATAGAACAGTGTCTACTGCTGGAATTCTTGACATTGGACTGAGTTAACAACATATCAAAGGAAAAGATATTTTTACCTGTGTGCTAATCTGCCTACTGCTCTTTCCAGGTTAATTGTGGCCCTGCACTCTTTGCTCAGCTCTTGAGAAGTTGGAGTTGCTACTTCTGCCTTACTTGAAGATACTTGCATTCACAAAGTAGTGACGTTTATAGTTAGAGGTTTTTCGGACCACTTGATAACTTCGAGTGTTTTGTTTTTTTTTTTCTTTTTAGCTAATAGATGCAAAAATTACTTTTATGTGCAAATCTTCTAAAGAATAAGGTGATTTTGCCTCTTTTTTCCTTGGCTTGCCCCTTTGAATCGTCATCATCTTGTTTTATCCAAATCAATATATAACATGCCAGGACTTGGAAAATTCCTAGAAATGAGTCTGCTCAGCTAAAAAGAGTCTTCAAAGAAAAATTTGTCTTGGTGTTTTTGCATACTTTTGCGTATGTTTGCAGTGATGGAGAATTTCAGTTTTCCAATCAGTAAATAGCTATTTAATCATTATCATGAGGATCATACCAAAGCTTGGAAGAAATCAGAGGATCAACTAAACAAACTGTCTTTAGTTTTAGATGCGTTCGTAACTGGCGTTTTCGCTATTCCCACAGGTATGCAGATTTATTTTGCAGATGTTCTTGTTGAATTATTTGGTTTCAGAAAACAATGTAGTGTTTGCATGTGATATTTTGGACAGATTAAATGCAGCTAAATTTGGAAATGTTCTGAAGTTCAAAAGTTTGTCCATCTTACTTGTTTTGTTCCCAGAATCTTTAATTTCAGCTGTTAAGACACTGAAAAAGTGGGAACTGAAGTTTTACATTTCCTCTATGCAATGACACTGTAGAAGTAAAACTGCTTTTAAAGCTTTGCTTTTTGCTATATACTGTGAAAATATGTGTAACGAGCTGCTTTAATTAGAATTTTTCTTCATATGGTTGCAAGGAGGATTCTCTCATCCATCTTCTTTGAAGCATTTTGCATTTATCTGTTCTAGACAACCATAATTTTGAATCCTTTGCCTTACAGATTCATTCTTCTGAAAGATTATCTGTTCCAGAGTCTGTATGGCTGATCATTCAGAGACTGTTGTAGTGGCTGCTTAGAGCTTTGTCCCCTGTAGATCTTGCTCATCCTTTCCTCATTTGAAACCATGACATGTGTAAATTTTTTTGCGTTAGTTTATACTGGAGCACGTTGGTAATTTTTTTACTCCCAGTCAGGTTTTTGGCGACATCAGAATGGAATTCTGAGTGTGATTCTTGGAGAAACTTTCAGAGGAGTATTTAGTGAAATATGTACTTGTTAGGAGCTCTATGTTGTATCTGAACAGCGTCCGTAACACCTCAGACTTGGAGCAGGTTGATTTTCATGTAAGTCTTCATTGCATATCATATAAATAATAAGGAGAATGGAAGACTTGGAAACAAGACTGATCACCACCTGAAAATATGTATGCTGTAACTTTAGACAAGCTATTCAAGTTGAAGGATAGTTGTACATGTAAGTAAATCTATTTGGTTCATCCTGTAGGATGGTGTTGCTTCACACCTGTATGTAGGGACTGTCAAGAGTTCTGAATGCTAATGGTACGATCCTGCCTCAGACTGTGTTTTTCTGGTCACCTGCCAGAGTAATTGTAGTACCAATCTACTCACAGAATAAGCAGAAGCTTCCCATGAGTAATGGTTAAGAACTACAGATAGTTTCAAAAGCTTTGACGGGGAATTTGCTGCTGTTCCTGTTTTGAGTGTTCAGAACACACTCTAAAGCGGATTGATGCTTAGCTTATAAAACAAACAAGTAGATGTAAGAGTTTGTAAGAGGCTTTCTTCCATCTAAGAGTGGTGTTGTCTTCAGTTGAGTATGGTATATTTAAGCGTTGGCCAGCGACCTCTCCTGCAAATGTGGGAAGGTAGACCTTCCTCTTCATAGCTTCACTGTTTTTTCCCATGGATTTATAGGGGATCAAGTAAGGACAGGTGTTTTGAATTAAGACAGTCCATGTGTTGTCTTGTTAGGATGCCAGCGGAATGCCTGACAGCCTGTAAAGGAAGTGCCCACTGTTCATGTATTGTGCATCTCAGATGCATTCAGAACGGAGTCCTCATGCGTGTTGGGCAAGGACCTTTGGGATTTCCCTCTAATAATGGTTCCAGGCATCTGTTTGTGTCAGTACTATTATACAAATGACTTTCAGGTTGGGGGGTTGGGTGCTAGTCTTTTGGGCATGTCTGCCAACTTGCCTTCATGCCGACTTTCAGTCGGTATAGTTCTCCATTTCGATCATATCTGATATGCAATTCCATTCTTTAATGAAAAGCTACTTCTGTGCCTTATTGTATAAAACATCTACTGGGGCCTCAAATACTGCTTTGGGAGCTAAGACTTAATTGGATGGGAACATTTTTACTTTGGATAGTTGGACATAATGTTTTCCTCATGTGTATGTGAATAAATGAACCTAGATTCACGATGGTACTTAAGCTTAGTGCGATAGTTAATTTGGTGAGCCAGTTAAAATGTTCAGTGTGTTAGGTAGTGTTTCCTCTTTGTCGAGGCTGTCTGTCTACTCGGATGTTTCTTACCATGCCTGTTAAAGGTGATTAAAGGGATATCTTTCTCTCATCCTCCAGCATTTAAATTCTCTGGAAGCAGTTTCCAAATAAGGGAAACAGGGGCTTACTAAACATAAACTTATTCTGCAGTGTATTTAGTCTGTTTCTGTATCTTTAACTCTGCATATTAGCATGTTACTAACAAGTTCATTTCCTGTATTTGTTTTGGATTGTTAGCTTTCAAAACCTAGTTATAGGTAAAATCCTGTCTGTTAATACAGTGAATTATAGGCATGCGCATTTTTAGCTTAAGCATCGTCTTTTGTAAGGCCGCAGAAACAAAAATGTTACTTTGTCTTCCTGGTCATATCCTAAAGAGAGATGAGTAGCAGATGTCAAAAACCTTAGGAAGCTGCAACTTAAGCTGTCAGAAGGACATATTCCTAATGCATTAGGTGGATGCTGCCTTGTAGAGCAGAATGTGAGTTCCAGTATCTGTTCAGACTTTTCCAATTTTTAAGCAGAATATTCATAATTCTATGAGAACATTTTTCAGTTACTTATCAGTAAGTCCTAGAAAAAATATCATTGAAAAGATTTTAAATTACTTGCTGGAGAAAATCACACATTTAATCTTGATGTGGATGTGAATTTTCTTCATGTGTCCCGTAGAATACATAATATCTGCTGATAACAAGAGAAAAGTGTTCTTTTCTTGCATGGTTTGATAAATTTTCATGTTAAGTTTGGGGAACTTCTACTTAAAAATTTCATCAGTAGTGCAAAAGCACTTAAATTCAACCATTGCGTAACAGATAATCAGATTCCTTTTTCACTGTCAATCTTTTGTATTGTATATTTCAGACACTTCTAAAACTACTTACTGTGAAGCAGTGGTTCAGCTATGGCATAAATATTGACATATGGTATCACTGAGGGCTTCTAAGTTTTAATCTAAATTTTTGAGATATTCTTGAGAGTTCAACTTTTGAAAACGCATCTTGTAATCGAAAAATACCATAGGTGACCCTGTGCATGTGATAAGAAGGATGACGGAAAAGCAAAGGTAGGAGTGTTTGCTCCTACTGAATATTAAGGATGTATGTTATGTTTGCTAATGAAAATGAAATGTAGTTTGTCTGTTTTTTGTCACCAGTAATTGAATACTTCTTGAATATCAGACTATGGCCTTTAACAGTTAAATACTGGATTAATTTTGCAGTGATTACATTGAAGTACGCTTATAAACAGAGGTTTATGTGAGCAAAATAAATGATGATACTGCTTTGAAGTGACCTCCGTTTACATACTTTCTGTTCCAGATTTGTACTATGGTGGAGAAGCTTTCTCTGTAGAGCAGCCACAGTCTTTCACTTGTCCTTATTGTGGGAAAATGGGTTACACGGAAGCATCTCTTCAAGAACATGTTACTTCTGAGCATGCAGAAACATCAACAGAAGTGGTAAGAAGCTTCAGAATTGGTTTTCAATTGTGGTGGAAAATATATTAAAAAGAGTCTTCTGGAAAATTGATAGTCTCATGTTCTTTTTCTTTCTTGAAGTCTGAGTTCATTGAAGTGCTTTGTAAGAAGACATACCTACATTTGACAGTGACATCAAAATGTTTCATGGGTATTGTAGTATAATGAGCTTGCTTTCTATTATGGTTGCGGTTCTGTTGTCCCAATGTACAAACTGCCATGTTTAGGAGTTTATTACCCTGTAAGACAAAGTTTGGGATGTTCTTATGGTTATTCTGTGTGTCCATGTCTCCCTTTTCACAACCAGTATGTCATTGTCCTGGAAGCTCATAGCTATGCCGATCTTGTAACTGTGTGAGAGAGAGAGGAAGATATGCAGTCATTTTGGTGTGTTTTTCAAATAGCTTTTGCAATGGACCTGATATATTAGTGCAGTGGAATTTGTCATTCTTTTGAAATACTGCTATTAAAGCAGGGTTTTTTTCCCCCTTCATCCCTAACCGCTAGGACACTTGACATGGTTAAAAACTCACTTCTTAAGCAAGCATCAGCAGAAATACTTTAGTCTGAGGAGTTAGCTTCTGCTACCCCGGTTGTCCTTGGGAGCAGAATAAACTAGATTAGCAGAACAACACCCAGGGTGCTCTTGTCTGGTTAACTGTTGTACCATAGATTCCTAGAAAAATGTGAATGCTTGAAGTGGATTACTTGTCACTAATACGTTGTGAAGAAATTACTTATAAATAGGTTCTCTATTCTAATCTTCTAGTTTTCTTAACTTCCAAGGAGTTTTGTGGAATAAAATGAAGCTTTCCTCTCCAAGCCTGTTAAGGAGGTTGGCACGAAGGAGTGATAGGGGAGGTGATTCATTCACCTTTTTGAGGCTGAAAGTTGTCCTGATCTTTCTTAAAAACTTAGGAAGTGAAACAGTTTACTTCACAATCAGTTGCGCTGTAGGATCATAGTTCAACTTAGTGACATAGTGCAATTTTTATCATGTCCTTGAGGTTTTTCTTTTAAGTTTGCAACTTTCAGACATGGTGTCAGTCATTGAAAGTTACAAGTTTGGATGAGTTTTAGTGGCTTCATATTGCAGTTCTGACTTGCACCACTTGATGTCAGTGATACGTTCCTGACACCCAATGTTATGATTCCAGGTTTTAAAATTTGACACATCCTTGTTTGCAGCTTGACTTCTAGAACTCAGTACGTAAAGCCTAAATTTGTGATTCTAGACACCTGCTACTCCACTGATTCCTGAAAGTGTGTAAAAAAAAAAAAACCAAACCAAACCAAAAAAAAACCACCAAAAAAAACCCAAACCAAAAAACCCACCAAAAACTCCAAACAAACAGAAAAGAGAGTCTTTCCTTTTTATAAGTCAAACTGCAACATTGTTGTATCTTTATTCCAAACAATGATAAAGGACAATATTTTACTTCTTGAATACGATTATATATGTTTTTGCTAAGTTTCGAATCTAGCCTTTGTGATAAATGTTTACTGTACCTGCATATAAAACTACTTGAGTACCATAGTCTTTCTGTAGATACTACAAAGAATTTTCAAAGAATAAGTAATAGAATTTTTTGTCAATTAAATTTTGCCATTTTTATGTTGAGGGTGGTGCAGATAAGTTTACTTTCTGCTTATTTTTCTCAGGTATTTGACATTGCTATGTACAGCAATGTTAGGTACTTCTGGGCAGGAGGTTGGAAGAGACCTCTGGAGATGCTCTTGTCTGACCTCCTCCTCAACCAGGGCCACCTATAACTGGTTGCCCAGGATCATGTCCAGACAGCTTTTTAATATTGCTGAGGACAGATACTCCACAGCCTCTCTGGGCAACCTATGCCTGTGTTCTCTTGCCCTCCAGTGAAAAAATGTTTCCTAATGTTCATGATGAACCTCCTGTGTTTTGAATTTGTTCTCACTGCCTCTGGTCCTGTCACTGCGCACCACTGAAAAGAACCTGGCTTTGTCCTGCTTTCACCCTCCCTTCAGGTGTATAAATAGACACATAAGATTCCACCCTGAGCCTGCTCTTCTCTGGCTGAACAGTCCCAGCTTTCTCAGCCTTTCCTTATGGAGGAGATGTTCCAGTCCATAATCATCTTTGTAGCCCTTTGCAGGACTCTAGTACTTGCATGTCTCTTGTATGCCCAGAACTGTGCACTGGCCTCACCAGTGCTGGATAAAGGCAAAGGATCACCACCCTTGATCTACTGGCAGTGTTCTTCCTAATGCAGACCAGGGCACTATTAGCTTTTTTGCTGCTCATGGTCCACCAGGACCCCCAGGTCCTTTTCTGCAGAGCTGCTCACCACCTGGGTGGCCTTCAGTGTGTCCTGGTGCCTGGGCTTGTTCCTCCCCAGGTGGAGGACTTTTCACTGCTCCCTGCTG